TGATCATCTCACCGATCCCAGTGGGCGGCTTGCGGTTGAACTTGGAGCGAAGCTCGCGGTGATGGAGTCCTCATATGAAGGCGGTGATGACCTCGGCTTCCGTGATGTTTGGAATAGAATTCCTCATCTCGGAAAAACATCGGATGTAGCTGCGGAGGAGCTCGGATGGCTTCTGGTTGATGCGGTTGAGATCATTCTTGGTTCCCGGTCGCATACACATAGCCATATAATTGTCGGTGAAGACTTTTTTCAGCTCTTCCTAGTATCCGATGGATTCTGGGGCAAGGCTAGTGAACCAGTTCATGACGGTTGGCGCGAGCATGATGGGAAGATAGTTCGCCATGACACTGATGTCTCCTCTAACAGCGCGAACAGCAGTGGCGTAAGCCTGTAACCACTGTGTTGGATTCATCCTCCCCTCGTAGGGCTCGACCCTAGTGATTTTGAAACCATAGGGCCACTGAAGTGTTCGGAGCACCCTTGTGAATGCCAGGGGCCCCTCGAGGTTGTCGTCGTCGTCGTCTGCAGCGTTGCCACTAGCGAATGGCTTGAGAGCTGAGTCCGGGTTACCGTACTCTTGCTCGTACTCCTGGCGGCGGCGTACTTCGTCTTCATGGCGACCGAAGCGGCGTTCGTCGATACGTCGTCGTGCATCTCAGAGATAGTTGAGGTGCACCCGGACGTCCTGGCCGACCTCTTGGTCGTGTTGGTGATGATGTTCGACGTGGTTGCCCCTAGCTCCGCCCTAGAGGGGTTGCCTGTCGTCGCGGTGCTGGTCGGTGAAGTGACTTTGGCGGCGATCGGTTCTTGTGGCGACTGATCGACGAATCAAAGTGGTGGAGTATGAAGGTCTCTGATCCTAGTGGATCTCATTGACCTGGCAGTGCGCCGCTTTAAGCATGGCGGCGACCTTGGCGAGCTCGAGCGTCTGCAGGAGGCGGGCGAGCTCGTTGGCGGCCACTGCTAGATTGGTGCTTGGAGTCTTGAAGACGTCGTGGCTGTCAACGCGGAGAAAATCTTCGTCGAGGTTGCGCTAGAGTGGCCTTCCTTGTGAGTCGAGCTGCTGCTCGGCCATCGCAAGGGCATTCTCGTTTGCTCGGCATTGTGCGTGGTCGACGTTCCGGTTCTCACGAGCGGCGCGTTCCTCCTCGGTTTCGCTGTTCCGAGGGGGGCTGTCGACGCTGACGTTGAAGATTGAGCCGCCAAGGAACGGAGGAAGTTGCTCGGTGAAGGTTTTAGCTAGGGTCTCCATAGAGCCCTGGGACTCGGAGCCTGGATTCTCCTCCGAGATGGTCTAGAGGGACGCTCTAGGGCGTCGGCCGACGTGGAGCATGTTGACGGCCGGCGGAGGCTGGTCGGCGAAATTGCCCCTTAGGGTGTCTTGGAAGGTGGCGGCGGCGTTGGCGAGCCCGAAGGGCAGAGCCGCAACTCCTAGAGTCTTCCAAGCAGCCTCTGGCAGATCTGGATCGGTGGGTGGTCGGCGCTGGACCAAAGTGTCCAGAGCCGATTCGATGATGGAGAGGCAATCGGTGAGCTTTAGACCAACCCGATCGATAGATGCGATCAGATCATCATTGTTAATCTACCTCCTCTGGTAGCGAGGAAGCGAGCGGCGAGTCGTCGATGAAGGCGACTTGGAGGCGGTTCCGAGATCGGATCTGCTATCGCAGGTGCAGGGGTGATCGACGCAGAATCGATCTATGCCGGCTCAAGGAGCTCTTCGACTCTGTCAGCGTTGATGATCCATGAGATCGATCCGACCGTGAAGATCTGGCCAGGCTACGGGAGGGACGAAGAGCCTGTGGAAAAAGCCATCTTGTTCGACAGGGAAACAGCACGCAATCCTCTACCTGGCGCCAACTGTCGATAGAATATCGTCGGCAGTCCTCCGAGGGGTATCCCACGAAGGTAGATTGATCGGCAGAGGAGCGTGAGATCAAGAACAACAAGGCAACAGAAACACACGAGTTAGATAGGTTCAGGCCGTTAGTATGATGTAATACCCTACTCCTGTGGTCTGTTGGTTTATATTAGCTATCGTATGATATTGTGTGAGTTTGGAGGGGTCCCTGCCCGCCTTATATAGTCTGGGGAGCAAGGTTACAAGTCGGTTAGATCTAAGAGATAATCGAAAAGTAATAACTGATTACAGAAATCTTGGGATCATACATATCCTAACAGATCTCGTAGTATCTTCAGGATATCTTTCAGATATCTTGTGGGAGGCGCCGAGCAGAGTCGTGCTCCATAAGGCTTCGTCTTGTGGGCTGGGCCGCCCCTGAGGGCGCAGCCCATGTGGTCTGCCATGGATATCCGGGGTCATACCCCCCACAGACCCCCTCTTTAGACCTAACAGCTCTATTTCGTTGGGGCTCTATAAATACGTGGTAGCTGGCTTGGGCTTACTCTCTTGGCCATTTCTATTGAGAATACATCCTATTGAGCCTAGTCATTCCTCTCTAACTCACCTTGCTTGATTGATTCATCATTTGGTGAGATTTAGGAGCATCCAAATGCATTGCTTTGAGTGATCGCATCTAGAGGCACTTGATGATTGTGTTTCGCTGCGGGATTCACTTGTTACTCTTGGTGGTTGCCGCCACCTAGACAGCTTGGTGCAGCGAGGATCATCGAGCAGAGAAAGGTGATTGTCTCTGGCTTCGATCGTGGTGGTTGTGAGGGGTTCTTGACCTTTCTCCGGTGAAGAGCCAAAAGATATTATAATGGATTGTGTGTGGCTTGTGTGATCCCCATCTTGTGTTGGTTGTGTGGCACCTGGTTGCTGGTTAGGCGTGTGATGCCTATTAGCGCATGAACCTCCAAGTGGGTGAATCGCCACAACGGGGACTAACTTGCCGGCAAGCAAGTGAATCTCAGTGAAAAATCATTGTCAATTGGTATTCATTGTGATTGTTTTTTCGCTTGCCCAGCTCGGTATTGATCCCTCTACCTCTCTTGTGTTTACTTTTGTAGAGATATTTTGTGTAGAGGTAGCCTAGCTAGTAGAGTAGCTCTCTAGTGTAGCATAGAAGTAATTAGTTGAATTACTTGTTTAGGTTGCTCACTAGTGGTAGAATTAGCAACGTAGCCATTATGTGGTATACTAGAGATCATAGAATTATAATTGATTAGGTGGCTTGCAACACAAGTGTAGAGCTAGCATAAAATTCACTTCGCCATCTTATTTACTAATCACTTATCTTAGTGTTGTTGTAGATTTTTTAATAGGCTATTCACCCCCCTCTAGTCATTAGGTCCTTTCAAGTCGATGCAGACTCCCACGAGAAGACGGTCGTCGACGTAGTTGTTCGCTCAGGGAAGAACACAGCTGTCGGAGTGGACGCTTGGGGAAGAACGGACACTCGGGAAGAACCAACTGCTGGAGCGGACGCTCGGGGAAGAGCACAGCTGCCGAAGCGGACAAGGGGCAGTCACGCGGATGCGCTCCCCAAAAACTTGATCGCCACCTACTCGTGCAGCTACGCTAGCGGACGGAGCTTCAATGGCCTGCTCACCTAAGCCCCTTGTGCGCGCAAGGGGCTCGAACCGGAGAACGTAGAGAGCAGCACAAGAGCAAGAACACAGCAGACAATGAGAAGGATGAAACGCTTAGCCTTTATAGGAGCCTCGGACCGTCGTGGAATGCACCAGTCCCAGACGATCGTAGAATGCACTAGTCGTAAATGTTCGTGGAATGCACCGGTCCCAGACGATTGTGTCCTAGACGATCGTGGAATGGTCCGGTCCCCCAACTCTTCTTCTCACCTTCTTAGTGACTCCCACTTAGCACTTATTGTGGGCCTTTGGAATTTCTTTGATTAATTGCTAGACTAACCATGGGTCAAGCTCAATTAATCCAACACTTGCTGCATGGACAAACAACCCTCATATGACCCTCTTTACGATGGAACTAGGTAACTAACTGAGGGCATCATGGATAATTTAATTTGCATCTCCAGCAAACTTTCCAGCCATCTATAGCAATCTACAGCCTGTTCGGCTGGACTTATACGATCGTATACAATTGTAGATTAGAAGTTACAATAGTATTTTTTTCTCACACCAAACCAGCCAGCAGTAAATAATCCACGATCGAATACGATGAAACGAACATGCTGCTATTAGCAGGTTAATTCATATATACAACCCATACTAATAAATTACAACAGGTACCTAGTAGTTAGCAACTGTTAGCTAGTATTCTTTTTGAATGTCAACAGCTACCTAATGAAGAGGAAAAAAATTAGGTAAGGTTGCTTGGTTAGCTAGTATTTTTTGAAAAAAAATAGCTAGCATTGTTTTTGAATGTCAACTCACTCAAGCTAACTATGGACCTGTTTGATTAGTCAGGGCTAAAATTAGGTAAGGTTGCTTGGTTAGCTAGTCAACCCATTTGAGACTGGGCTAATTTTAACAAATTTTTAGCTAGTTAATAATTAGCTCTTGAACATGCCCTATTACTAGGTGTCGGTGAATCTTGTGACTTGAATCTAAAACAAAACTTTAAGATCTACTCCCTCCATTCCTAAATACCTCAAGTTTGACTCAATTTGTAGAAAATTACAATATTTAATCTCCAAACAAATTTATTAAAACTAGATTCAAAGATCTTTTCAATAATAATAATTATGTACTATAAATATTAATATTTTTAATATATATTTAGTCAAAATTATTTTTTAAAATCTAAAACCACACGTATTTTGCCACGTAGGAAAGGAAGTACTTGCAATGAAAAATACCACACCACACCCACTCGAGTCGACCCACACATACCGCACCGGCCAATAAATCGGCGGCCCCCCGTGAGAGCCAACTCATCAGCCGAGGCCCGAGTGGTCGTGCCGTGGAAGCTTTGGTCTACCCTTCCCAATCCACCGTCGTCTTCTCTCCTTTTCCCACTCTCCCACCCTTCCTCCATCGTTCCCTTTCTCTGTCTCGCGGAGTCGCGGCGATCCAGCCACCGAGCACGAGCGTCCTACGCGCCGCGGACCGTGCCCATGGCGGCGGGGTCGATCCGGGTCACCATGGAGGTGGGCGCCGACGGCGTCGCGCTCATCACCATCGCCAACCCGCCCGTCAACGCGCTCCACCCCATCAGTAAGCGACCGACCGACCGACGCCTCCTTCTTCCTCGGTGTTCAATTCTGCCGTGATTTTCGTTTCGGCGGAGTTCCGTTTTTTTTGCGGTCTAATCCCGTCGTGCTCTCCAACCCTCGCCTGCAGTCATCGCCGGGCTCAAGGACAAGTACGCGGAGGCCATGCGCCGTGACGACGTCAAGGCCATCGTGCTCACCGGTCAGATCTCTCATCTCTCCTCTTCATTCATCTCTCCTCTTCATTATTTAATTTGGTCTTCTATCAACTATCATTAGATAATATGGCCTGTTCGTTTCGCTGAAATTTAGAGGAAAACATTGTTCGCTCGCTGAAAAGGACTGCGGGAGTAATTCAATATCTCCTTTTATATTGGGGAGTGGGGATCTTGTCTCTACTCTCTGTAGTATACCAGCCATTTTAATGTTTGGTGCTATCCACGGACCACGTTTGATATGGATAGTCGTGGAAACGTCGCTTTCCTAGTTTTCTACTATTTCTGCTCACCCCAGTCCACCTTGAACTGCCTACTTACTTGCCAGTTGCGTTGGCCTCTTGAGATAGCATCTTGCTCAAGTAGGCAGAGATAGAACTTAAGTGGTGGAAACAAGAAAACAGGGCCGTTGTTCTATACTTGATACTTGATAATAGAGCTTTGCATTGAAATGCTCCTCGACAACGCTGGACAGATATTTATGTATCTGCTCTACCTTTCTAGTAAACTGAAAGTATCCTGATACCTTTTCAAGTTGTTCGACATAACTCACATTTTTAACCCTTTTTTTCTTGTTTAATTGTGATGGATAAGTCTCATGTGTGGCTGGTCTTTGTGGGGCTGTGCTGCTCACAATCTCCTTGTGGCTATTTTCTGTTTTTAGGACAGCATCTTAGACTAGAGGACAGCATCTTAGAGGACAGCATCTTAGACTAGCATCTTAGACTAGCATATTGGCATATGCTTGGCTGGCTAGCAGGCTATAAATATGTAACCCCAACCCCTCAGGTTGGTATGGCATTGAGAAATAAACCAGAAAATTGTCCTAACTCCTAGTGTCATCCTCTCTCGATGAGAGTAAGAATTCTGCTACTTCCAAGAGTGAGAATTCAGCGACTAACAACTTGGTAACTAATTTGGACGTGCTGCCAAATCCGTACACTAGACTGGTATGTGAAAGAGATGTTCTGTTTCTGATTCTTGTCATTGTCCTGGATTCTGAATTGCCTAGGTGCTGGAGGCAAGTTTTGTGGAGGATTTGATATCAACGTTTTCACAAAGGTTCATCAGACTGGTAACGGAATGCCTTTCACTTGTGCTGTTGTTAGTTATATGCTAGGCTTTCTGCTTATGGGGAGCTGTTTGCCTGGGCTTACACGTGCAACATTGGTGGCATGCAGGGGATGTATCACTTATGCCGGATGTATCTCTCGAGTTTGTGTCAAACATGATGGAAGGTATAGTTTTTTGCCACATCACTTGTATAGTTGTATGTCACTTAATCTTTTTTTTTTGCATTTGCTTTCATTACCAATATCACAATTCCTGGACCCATTTTTTTTTTGCAGAGGGCAAAAAACCTTCTGTTGCAGCCATTCAAGGTCTTGCGTTGGGTGGTGGCCTAGAGTTGACTATGGTATGCCACTTCTGCCAGATGTTGTTGATTGTTAAGCTTGCAGCTGAACCTAGTCTAAATCCATTGCATCTGTAAATGACATGTTCAGGGTTGTCATGCTCGGATATCTACTCCTGAAGCTCAACTTGGATTGCCAGAGCTGACCCTTGGCATCATCCCTGGATTTGGAGGTATGGATATATCTGTGCCTGAACAGATAACTATTTCTCCAGTTACCCTGCTTTGTATTGGATTCTATCATGTCTTGGATCTAACTGTGTTAACTTATTATCTAGGTACCCAACGTCTGCCGAGGCTTGTAGGTCTACCCAAAGCAATTGAAATGATGCTGGTGAGTAATTGAGTTCATCTGTTTCTTGTATAAGTGAATTCTTCTTTTTAACTTGGTAAAAACTCATTTACTAAACTCTACAGTTTTCCCCCATGACATCAACCTTGATTTCAGTATATTATTTTAGGCTGTAAGTAATTGTAAGCTACTGAATTGTATGGATGGTGTCCATGTGGACGGGGAAGTGGGTCCAGGAGTTGAATTATTATGGTGTCCAGGGTAGGAAAGGGATGAAACGACCAGTAACAATTTAGCCAATGGCAGAACTGGGCGGATGGGAGGCTTAAGGGAAGATGTCTAAAGGGGCAGACCCAGTGCCAGAGGTTCCCACATGAGTGGGGTCTGGGGAAGGAAAAAACCGAGGCAAGCCTTCCCCCCGCAAAATCTGTGGAGAGGCTACTTCGAACCCGCGACCTGGTGACTTAGTGAGACAGCTCTCACCACTGCACCAGGCTGCTTAAGGGAAGATGTCTGAAGGGGATATTTTAGTGGGTACTTGTCCATAATCATATGCTTGTTCCAGAAGAATATATAATAGCTCACCTTCACTATTACAGATTCACCCTGTGATATTTGCTTGTTTCTGATAATATAATCATACGAACTTTTTGGGTCAAATGTAGATAATTTCCATACTCGAAACTAGGCAATGTCAAATTGTCCACACCGAATAGCGAAGCCACGTCTTGTTGCTTTAGAAAATTTTGGCATATTGAATTTAATATTTGACTGCTTAGTCTGATATCAAGCGATGAACAAATTCGGGAAAAAAAAAGAGAGATCATAAATATGAATCTTTGCTTAAATCTTTAATGTGTGTATTTATTTCTACCATAGCCTTCATTTAATTCAAGAGAAGCCAATCAGTAGGCATCCAGTTACTTATTTTGTGAACTGTGGATGTAATGACCTGTCTGTAAACAAGTTCCATGTTTTTAGTTAATTACTGTAATGATCTAGCATGTGATGTTTCAGTCTTCTGAATTGGACATCTGGTATGACTTTAACAGCAAAGTAAGTTCATTACGGCAAAGGAAGGGAAGGAACGTGGTTTGATTGATGCCCTTTGCTCTCCTGATGAATTGATAAAGACATCACGCCTTTGGGCTCTGGAAATTGCTAATTCCCGTAAACCTTGGATGAGATCTCTTGGCAGAACAGATAGGGTTGGATCACTATCTGAAGCTCGTGCTGTATTAAATGCAGCAAGACAGCAAGCAATGAAGATTGCACCAAACATGCCACAGCACCAGGCCTGCCTTGATGTAATGGAAGAAGGCATGTTATATGGAGGCCAAGCTGGTGTTTTGAAGGTATGTGTCTGTACCTGTCTCGTTCAAATAGGGAATTGAGGCGAGAATATCTACTATTTTCAACTTCTCTTAGTTATACAGCTAGTTCGGCATCTTATTTCTCAGGAATTTCCATAGGCTATGTAAAACACTTAAATATATATATTAAATAATCCTGCAATGGAGTGTAGGCTATCTTAGCTTTATTTTGGCATTTGTGCTGGGATCAATGCTCTTTGACTAAAAATAGTAAACACCCTGCAATACTGGATGATACATTCCTGTTTCTTCTGCTTTTAACTATATAGACTATTTACATGTTTACTTAACAGACACCAATAAATGCAGGAAGCCAGGGTTTTCAAGGAGCTGGTGATAGCACCAACATCAAAGGCTCTTGTCCATGTTTTCTTTGCACAACGTTCCACGACAAAGGTTGTCCTCCAGTGTAGTTTACCTTTCTTTTATGATTTACCATCAAATCATCATCCAGTCCTTGAATACCTTCAAACCTTAGATGCATCACCCTTTCTTTTTAATTATTTAGAAATGATCTGATGTTTATATGCAGAATTTGTTCATTTGTATTGTAGTAACATGACTGGTTTTCTTCAAATAGAAAAAATAGTAAAAAAGCTGTAGATGAAGTCAACTTCAGTGAAGCTAAATTACTGCAGTGATTTATGCTGCTGATTATGTATAGGTGCCAGGTGTAACTGATGTTCAACTGAAACCAAGGCCAATTAGAAAAGTTGCTGTTATTGGTGGTGGTCTGATGGGCTCTGGAATTGCTACATCACTTCTTGTTAGCAACATTTCTGTTGTGCTCAAGGAAGTAAACCCTCAGTTTCTGCAAAGGGGAGAGAAAATGATAGCAGGTCAATCTCTTTATACAGCTGTTGCATTTCTTGAGAAAATGTTCTAGTGTATCTAGGGATGAAAACGGATGGAAACGGGCGGAAAAACTCCTCTCCCATTTCCGTTTCTATATTTTTAGCGGAAACGGGATCAGGTTCGAGAAAAAAACGGAATTAAAAACGGATGGGGATATACGGAAATACGGAAACAGACAAATATGGACGGAGAGCCGGAAAAATAAGTTAGAATAACATGATCAAATATTCTTGAGTATACATGAACAAAGTCACAAAATAATATACACGTACGAAATTATCGGTCCAATATTCACTAGTATACCATGTGTTAACATGAATAATTTGTGATTAGTAGGTTTATGAACATATCAATTTCTAGACATATCTCACATAGATTGAAAACGGGATGAAAAACGGAATAAATACGGGTCAATTCTGGATAAAAACGGGATCTCGCGGAAACGGACGGAAAAACCCCTTTCCCGTTTCCGTAAATACGGAAACGGGATCCCACAAATACGAAAACGGACGGAAGAAAGTAGAAAACGGAACAGGATTTTTTTCCGTCCGTTTTCAACCTTAAGTGTATCTATGCCTTTTTGAGTTCTTCATGTGCTTGAGCTTTAGGATCTTAAAGTTAAATTTATAAGTTACCTTACTAGTAAATCTAACAATCTTTGTAACAGGTAATCTTGAGGGCCTGGTCAAAAGAGGTTCACTAACAAAGGATAGGATGCACAAGGCATTGTTGCTTCTCAAGGGCGCTTTGGATTATTCAGATTTCAAGGATGTTGATATGGTTATTGAGGTTAGTGTTCATACGTTTTTTGAATCTGTTGTGATTGAACTACATTTTGTGTTCATGAATCTCATGAGAACTGTATTTAGTTACATAATTCATGTGTACATGCTCATAGAATATTTGTTTGTTAGGTTGTTGTGACACATTCCTCTCTTGTAGGCTGTTATCGAGAAGATTCCTTTGAAGCAATCAATATTTTCTGACATTGAGAAAATCTGTCCGAAACATTGCATACTTGCGACAAACACATCCACCATTGATTTGAATGTTGTTGGCGAGAAGACAAATTCTCAAGATAGAATTATAGGGGCTCACTTTTTCAGGTTCGTGAATTCTGATTACTGGATTTGTGGAAGATCTTGAATACTAGTGTTGCAAAAGAGTACGAGTATGCTTATGAATTATAGATTAACACATTTGTTAAAATAAAAAAACATGTACTGCAGTTTTCCAGTTGAACTACAGATTTCTAATAGCCACAGGTTGCTAATGCTATTATGCTATGTTATTTTCAGCCCTGCTCATATTATGCCCTTGCTTGAAATTGTCCGGACGGAGAAGACATCACCACAAGCTATCCTTGATCTCATCACCGTTGGGAAGAGAATAAAGAAAGTCCCTGTTGTGGTCGGCAACTGCACAGGATTTGCTGTCAACCGTACATTTTTTCCTTACACACAGGGTTCTCATCTTCTAGTCAGTCTTGGTATTGATGTTTTCAGAATTGATCGAGTAATAAGCAGCTTCGGCATGCCAATGGGACCTTTTCAGTAAGTGCTTTGCTCTGTTTCCTAACATTTGTATGTAGTATTAGATGGCCATTATAAATGTTCATCTTGAAAAAGGATTTAATTGTACAAAATTACGTAGGAAGTGCAATTCATACAAAAGGTTAATGAAACTATCCTTGTGAAGTCATACCACATTTTTTTACTAATGGCACTGTACATGTGCAATGTTAGAAAATAAACTGGCATCCTGTCAACACGTGGGCCAGGCTTCTGATTATATCCTTATCGGTTGAACCTAGGTCAAATTAAAATGTAGATAGTGCTATTCTGGGACTTGAACCATTGTGAGTGTATTCAGTACTAGATTATTGGTCCAAATTATCTTCCTTTTCCAGATGGGAATCAACCATCACCTGGACAAAGAATAATGTGACATCTTTAGTATGCTGTGCTCTGCCTTAGCTAGCTTGATTCTTAAATGGCTATTTTTGGTTGACTGTTCTAAATTTTGCTTCCATGATTCATGTGAGTTCTTATATTTGACATTTTTCCTTGCTGCCCTGTAGACTCCAAGATGTGGCTGGGTATGGAGTGGCCTTGGCAGTAAAAGATATCTACTCTGATGCCTTTGGGGAAAGAAATTTGGAATCTAACCTCGTGGACTTGATAGTAAAGGATGGACGACAGGGTATACTTCTTAACCTACTTTTGCTTATTTCATAATTTGATCCTTATATGATGGCACAAACCATTCAATAGATGAATGCACATTTTGTATATTTTTCTTGAGAAGTGAAATTTCCAAATTACTGTTTTACAGGGAAGGCAAATGGCAAAGGTTACTACATTTATGAGAAGGGCGGGAAGCCAAAGCCAGACCCTAGTGTTATGCATGTGATCGAGGAGTACCGAAAGCAGGCAAACGCAATGCCTGGTGGAAAGGTATTGTTTTCTCACTCCTGTCTAACACATGGCTTGTGCATTTATTAGAATTTTCATTCTATTCCTGTGTTGAGTAAGATCCTTATTTGACAAAATTATATGTTGCAGCCTGTTACTTTATCGGATCAAGATATTTTGGAGATGATTTTCTTCCCAGTTGTGAATGAGGCATGCAGGGTTATGGATGAAAATGTTGTAATTCGAGCTTCTGATCTTGATATTGCTTCTGTTCTTGGAATGGGCTTTCCCAAATACAGGTAAGAATTGCTTGAACTTTTAACTGTGTTTATTTATATAGTTACTTCTGTACAAAATGATTTTTTTTTTTACTTTATTCCATTGAACCTGCAGTTTTTCATCCCTGGCACATTCATTTTTGCTCACGTTTGCTGAATGAATTTACAATTTGAATCCATGAATCCCAAATCTCACTAAAACCACAGGTTGATGATACTCCTAGAGGAACACTTAATAGATCATATATAGACAATGCGATGGGTGGGATTTGCAATTTCTGGAAATAAACTTAAGCGGCATGTCTTAAAATTTAGCACCTTGCTAATGCACTGGTACAACAAATGTACCTACTCTAATAATTACGCGGGCTAAGCTATGATCCTATGATTGTGAGGCATATGGTATCTAACATGTGTATAGTTTATCTAGTTACTGATCTGGTTCCTCATTGTTTGAAATGTCTGATACTCCTCTATACTTGACTTATACATAGTTCTGCAGAGAGTTGTAATTAATATTGAACCGAATTCTATCTAGTGTCAATACAAGCTAAACATCTTTTAATGCAATGATTATTGTCCATTTACCATTTATGCATTTCGACATTGTATTGTTTATGGATTTAAGGAGGTGTGGTGCCTATTATGAGTATTTAGTTTGAATTTACATTTTTTTTTTTTTTTGCAGGGGTGGTCTTGTCTTCTGGGCTGACACTGTTGGAGCACCTTACATACATTCGAAGCTAAGCAAGTGGGCTGAAATTTATGGTCCCTTCTTCAAACCATCATCGTATTTGGAACAACGAGCTAAAAGTGGTGTACCATTGGTAAGCTCTCACTGTCAGCACTCTCATGAGTGTGTACCTTATAGGACGTCTGACTCTTTGCTAATCAACGTTGGGAGTGCAATTTAATATAGATGCACATAGATTTTTCTATTTTGATATAGATGCGAATTTACCTTTGGTCTTGTGCTAATCATTTAGCATAAAATTACCGATTTGTCTAGAGTACTGCTGTTGCTGCAGAAAATAGTGTGACGCTATGACGAGAGCAGGCTGTTCGTCATGCTAACCATTTTTTATATTCTCCGCAGAGCGCACCAGGAACATCGCAGCAAGGTTCGGCGAGGTCACGCATGTGAGGGGCTTCATTGGGCAGAAGAATATACAGAATACTGGTGGGATGAGCCAGACAGCTTCTTCGCAGATCAAAACACCTCCGTGAACACAAAATTAGGCACAGAAATGATGAAAAAAATAAATGGGTTTGTAACAGTTTTGGTGCCTTGAACTGTAACTATGGCAGAGTTTCTGTGAACAAAGTGGCATGCATTAATTGTACCTGATCACTCTGTATGTCGCTGTCCAGTCTGTTCGGATGGCTGGCTGGTTCGTGGCTGGATTGTGGATTATTACTGCTGGCTGGTTTGGTGAGAGAAAAATACTGTTTCGGCTGGAAATTTACGATCGTATACGAGATCCACCAGCCAACCGAACAAGCTGGTCATGTGTACAACAATGTTCAATACGTATGTAATAAAGAATGGAAATATATGCCGCTATCAGTGCGTCGTCTTCTCGTGTTAATCGCTTGCACCAACCAGGTACCAGTGCTATCAGTGTTGCACCAACTAGAGGTATACCGTGATCCAGCGAGCAAGAACAACCAGGAGTCAGGATGGCCGGGCCGTGGTGGCGGGGACGATGATGCGTGTGACAATGGAGGTGGGCGCAGACGGCATGGCGCTCATCACCATGTGCAGCTCGCCCGTCAACGCCCTCCACCCCGCCAGTAAACAACGCCCGCTTTTCCCCTTTGCCTCTTTTCGACTTGTTTCCTTACGCCTGATGGCCCTGTCATGCTCGGTGCTCCGATGCAGTCTTCGCGGGGCTCCGGGAGAAGTACGGCGAGGCCATGACCCGCGACGACGTCAAGGCCATCGTGCTCACCGGTTAGGCCTCCTCTCACTACAAGCCTAGCTCACCTAATAATTCTACAAGCCTAGCCTAACACTTCAAAGCAAGCCTCCTATATAATTGTAGTGACCAAGAAAGAACAAGCTACCCTAGTTCACTCAAACTAAACAAGGCTAATTAAACAACAAATCGAGCTGCACAAGTAAAGCAACTACTTGAATTACACTACTAAACTAGCCGGCTACTTTAGCAACTACACAAGCAATCAAATGAACAAGTAAATAGCTTGAGTAGAAGTGAGAAAACCACAAGGAAGACTGATGAAAAAATATTTTTTTCTCTTGAGGTTTGGCTACTTGCTAGCATCCTACTCGCTGTTGAGGCGAGTTCTTGGACCACTGCTTTTCTGCAAGTCTTGCGAGCACACAAGCTCGGCCCTCAACATGTGCACTCGTGTGTAAGTCGACTGGCCATAGGCACTCTCCATGCCTCTTGACTCCACTAGAGTTTCTCTTCACCAACTCCTATGGGGATGAGCACAAAGTCACCATCCCAAGTCCCTGCACAATCACCAAGCGGCACTTGATGCATTTCAACAACACCAAGTCCCCTAGGTGACGGCAAACACCAAGAGTAATAAGAGCACTTCAACAACAACGATCTTTAATGCCACAAGATGCAAACTCTCAATGCAATACACTAGATTTCTCTCCAATCTCACTCAAAGTCAATCTGAAGCAAGCAAGGTGTGAGAGAGAGGTTCTTGAGCTCTAAGGATGGATGAAAGTCAGTAAAATTGGCCAAGAGAGCCTCACACGCCGAGCACACACTTAGTAGCTTCTGTGTGGGTGGCGGTCTGACCACGAGGCCTCCAATGGACACCTGTAGAAGCCAATGGTCGGCTGTACAATTAAAAAAAAACTCCCTCCTCTTTATTTGGTGCAACTCCGGTGATCCCACCGGACAAATCCGATAGCCCCACAACTATTTGCAGAAGGTTTGGGGACCCACTAGAAAGGTCCAGGGATCCCCACATGACCCCACCGGAGAGAGCGCATGTGCACAGAAAATATGCTCGTGCCTCTGCTCTATATGATGGAACACCTGGCGGTAGGACCGCGCAATCCGCATGCTATGGTGGACACGTGGCCACACACATCCGAGTAAATGCCTCGGTTGGAAAACACTTTCCCACGAGCACTCAGAGCTAGGCCGCCCTAGCAGTCAGACCGCATGAAGAGCCAGTCAGACCTCGAGGCCTAACAGAAGCAGCCCACCAGCAAGTCTTAACGCATGCCGTGAGAAGGCCAAACTCTGTTGCTTTCCCCTCCAGGCGCACCGGATAAATCCGGTGAGTGCACAGAAATTGCACTAAGCCTTCCTCTCAAAGCCTTTTAAATGTGCCAACTCCGAACAAGTGTTCAAATGAACACCAACACTTCAAACACATGAGTTAGCATTTTCAAAACATTTTTCAAAGATTTTCTCTTGCTTCCTCACCATGTCACTAGGTGTAATGCACATGCATTATTAGTCATCACCTAGTGGTACTAGATAACTGTAATTATTTTAGAGCTCTCCTCTTAATAGTATTGCTATCTATCATAAATCCGACCGTGTCCTCTATTGCACATTGGCTCGTGAAACAAAATCTCTATGCATATACCTTTGCCTTCGAGCTTGTTTCCATCTCCATTTCACTTCTCCAATGTTGAGCACTTCCACATGGTCATGATCATCATATCTACCATCTTATAGCCTTTCTCAATCATCTCCATTGAAAGTATTAGTTCACTAGTTATCACTCAATTACTAAAACCAAATTAGGGCTTGCAGTCACTCAACACCCTAAGTCCACAAAATTGCCTCATCTTCGGATACATGCAAGGAAACACATTCCTCATAATCTTGGGGCGTGGGATGAATGGCAGTTTGATCTGAAGGTCGCTAGTGACTTCACTTGGATCCATGGACCAACCTCCAGTTACTATAAATACGGGGTTACCTCCTCACTCTCAAGACAACCAAGAAGAAGAGAAGAGCTCCAATACACTTTTAGTAGTAATAATTGTAGGATAGTTTAGTCCTAGGAGTTAGAGTGAGTCTAGCTAACTTAGAACCATAGCAGTAGAGAAATATTTTAGGAACCTTGCGCTCACTCGTTGCTCTCCCAAGGTAGCTATACCTTTATCTTTATTTGAGTTGCTCTCCTCTCTTGTGTGACACTACCTGTCTATCTATTGTTCACCCCACTAAACTCTGGTATATTAATTACGATATAAGAAAATATATTTTTATAAATATTGTTAGCCACCACTGAAAGGTCCTAAATGGCTAAAGGGGGTGAATAGCCTATAAAAATCTCTACAAAATCACTAGAGCAAAGGGTTAGTAACATAAATGGTGAAATGCAATTTTGCTCTATCTCTACAAGGGTTGTAAGCCACCTATACTAACAATTCTAGTTGCTAAGATCACTAAGCACACACAAGGCTATGTCTCTATGAAAGGATCAAGATGCCTAAGAGGGGGGGGGGGGTGAATTGGGCTAATTCTAAATTTTCTTGCAATAATCAAATCCTACGGATAGCCCAATTAACCCCTTGTGCCTAAAAAGTGTTTATATCAAACTAATGCACAACAACCTCGCAATCAACGTTCCAAACTTACTCTAGCAAGCAATTCTATGGATGTAAGACAAGTATTGAAATGCTCAAAGTAAATACTCAAAGTAAGTGCTCAACGTAAATAGAGAGAGAAAGGAACGCAGCGGCGATGTTTTGCCGAGGTATCGAGAGTCGCCACTCCCCACTAGTCCTCGTTGGAGCACCAGCAAGGGTGTAGCTCCCCCTTCCGCCGCAAGGATCAAGTGCTCTCTCTGGGTTGATTCTTGACACTCCGTCATGCGCGAATCACCCAAAACCGCTCACAACTTGAGTTGGGTCACCCACAAGCTCACGGGTGAACACCAAACTCCCAATCACCACCAAGCCGTCTAGGTGATGGCGATCACCAAGAGTAACAAGCACGAACTCTCACTTGACCACGCCAAGCCTAATGAGAAGATGGATGCACACTTTGCTACTCTTGATTTGCTAGTGAGGCTACTCTCTTGGATTCTCAAATCACAAACACCTCACTAGGACCTTGCTCTTCTTGGCACTCACAAACGTGTTTCTCAATACCGTTGGAATGAGCAAAGATACTCCACTCACGAGTGGACCTTCTATTTATAAGCTAGCTCGAAAAACGAACCGTTATGAGCTTACATGGGACGACCGGACGCTCCGATCGTGATGACCGGACGCCCCGGTCAGTTCAACCTGTGAAACAAGATTAAAGAGTCGACCGGACGGGCCGGCAGGTCCGGTCTGCTGACTTGACTGACGACGCGTCCCCGGTCGCATAAAACCCTTATCGGAACCTTCATCGAGTTGGCCGGACGCCGAACCCTCGTGGTCCGGTCAAGACCGACCGGACGCGTCCGGTCACTCTTTCCCAAGTCTGGACCTCTTCGAGTCGACCGGACGCCGGTCCTCGGCCGTCCGGTCACATGACCTTCCAGCGTCGGTCACATCGACTTGATCACCTCGATCAAATGAACTGACCGGACCTGCGCTGCGTTCCGTCCGGTCGCATCCGAGCCAGTCTCCGGTCGGTGTTTGACCCTCCATTCACTTCCAACTTCCGAATATATGTGAATGAATTGTGCTCCAAAAGATCTTAGGCATTCATAGGAGCTACCTAGAGCTAGTTTAAACAAGTGTGCACCACACCTAACTCACTAGACTTAACTAGGTCAAGCTACCCGTTCATACCCCCCTTCATAGTACGGCCAAAGGAAAAAACAAAGTCCTAAACTACTCTAAGTGTCTCTCCAACTTCAATTGACACTTAGAACTAGTTATCCTTAACCTTGTCGTCCATCCTTTGAAAACCGAAACGATTTCCATCGTAGGGGCATGACAACCTCAATTGCCCAATCAATCTCCATTACCATGACCTAACTTAATTTCCTCTGCAAAACACACGTTAGTCATAGTAATCTTGTATTGACATCAATCACCGAAATCCAACTAGGGGCCTAGATGCTTTCAATCTCCCCCTTTTTGGTGATTGATGACAACACTACCTCGAGTATGTTATGGAGTGAGGTTTTTGACGGGCTTGGTTCATATAAGCTTTTGTCAATAAGAACAAAAGAGTTAGTCAAGCTTATATGACCCAAGCCAACACAATGTACTCAAAGAATATGGATTAAGCATGAGTACTAATAACAAAGCTCATTTGCTTCAAAGTATAAACGCGGAAGCAAAATCAAATGAGCATCACACAAGTGATATGACATATAGATAAAGCAAAGTAGAAGTCACACATGTCAAATATCACAATCACGTAGATAGCACTATCACATATAAATAATAGTATGCATGAAAGTAAACACACGAATGCATAAGTAATAGTGTATCACACAAATAAAAGTCCAAAAGTATATAATAAGCTAATCTTTGGATAACTAGCTCCCCTAAAACTCGCTCCCCTAAGTCTACATACTCAAACCCTCTCCCCTTTGGCGTCAAACACCAAAACCTAGGGGTCGGACGGCGGGGCTGCAGCGACAGAGTCGGTCGTATTTGAAGTACGTGGAGCAAGATGGAACCGGCGCCATCATCATCTCGACCACGAGCTCTGAATCGATCCGACCCTCAGGCGTGAAGTGTCATTTGAAACGGACTGGGTCTGAGCTGGGCTGGTCTTTGCTGTGAATCTGCAAGTATGTCTGCTCGTGGGATCTGACGAGGTGATGACGAGGGAGCCTCTGAGTAGTCATGATAGCTGGAGCTGCTGTAGACGGACCGGCAGCATGCATGTGAGGCGGAGTAGGCATGCCGGTCAACTCACTGAATGATGCTCCAAGACTCCTGGAGACTGACGACTCAGGCTCGAATAGTGAGGAAGTCTGCTCTGGTGAGAAACCCGTGTGATAAGGAGTGAACTGCGGGGCTACACCAGGTGAGGCTAACCACTGGGACACTGTCA